TGCCAACAAATGAAAGGTATGGACGTTTTACACAATAATAAAAAAAAGTAGAGACGTATTGTACTATTATCGTTTTAAAAATTATTTGGACTAATTTGCACGTTTTAAAAAAGTTTGGGAGTATAATTCAAATTTATTCTTTAACCTTTCTTTTCTTTTTTATTGTTTTATTTAAATATGTGGTATATTTATCATTTTATAAGAAAAATTTGATGAAAATGATGATTTTCGTAATAAAAGGTTAAGTTAAGGATAAACGTGCCAAAACATGAAATGTATGAACGTTTTTCACAATAACATTGAAATATAAGGATATTTTGTGCCAATTATTCATTTAGATATCGTCAAAATTTAAAATAAAATAAAATAAAATAAAAATAATAATAAATAAATACATAAAAAATAGCCCCCATTTGAGACCCATTAATTTTTATTGTTTTTCATTTCATTTTTCTCTCATCTATTTTCAATATCACAATCTTCCATAAAATAATATTATACATAAATCGAAAATTTTTCCTTCTTTTTAAATTACTCATTTTTCAAAAAACATTATTTCACACATAAATTTTTCCCCGTAATGGGGCCAAACAGGGGCATAGTGCGTCGCTAGATAAAGGCGTCAAATATATAAGGGTCCTACTATTAGGGCAAAACCCTATTTTCAAAACCCTCATCCTCTGCTATTCATTTCCAAATCTCAGTCGGATCCTGTGAAAGATCCGTTCTTGACCCCTCTGCAACCAATCACTGGACAAAATGGCGTTGGCTTTTGATGAATTTGGTCGGCCGTTCATTATACTGAAGGAGCAGGAGCAGAAGGCTCGGTTGCGAGGTCTGGATGCGCAGAAGGCCAACGTTGCCGCCGGAAGAGCGGTGGCTCGAATCCTCCGGACCTCACTTGGACCCAAAGGCATGGACAAGATGCTTCAGAGCCCTGACGGTGACGTCACCATCAGTATGCTCCCTTCATTTCCTTCTTATGTATATTTGTGTAAATTGATATGTAGTGTTCGTACTTTACTTTAGGGAGATTATGGTTTATCATATTGCGTGTCTTGAAGATTGGTGTTATTCTTTCTATTGTATGTAAACAGGTTGGAATTATTTCCTTAAAATGATGTGTTCCTATGGACATTAGGACACTAAAAGTTGGAAATCTAGTTTTAGTTTTGCTGTTAACTTTACTGAAGTAAATTTAGGTTTGTTAAAACTTGTGAAGGTAGTGAAAAATAGATGATTGTCGCACCATCATTCTCTAACAAAAATTAAGATTTTAGATGGTTCAACCTTGTGCTTCTCATTTGTGAAAATCTACAATGTTGTAGTTGCAGAACATTTTCTGAATGTTTCTTGCTTGATAGAAGTTACTCATCACATCTTGTTGTTTTGTTAGCGAATGATGGTGCGACAATCTTGGAGCAGATGGATGTTGACAATCAGATTGCGAAGCTAATGGTTGAATTATCAAGAAGTCAAGACTATGAAATTGGTGATGGAACAACTGGAGTCGTTGTCATGGCTGGTTCACTTCTAGAACAAGCTGAGAAGTTATTAGAACGTGGTATTCATCCTATCAGGATTGCGGAAGGATATGAAATGGCTTCTAGGATAGCTTTTGAACATCTGGAGAATGTAGCCAATAAATTCGAATTTGATGCTTCAAACATAGAACCTCTGATTCAAACTTGCATGACTACTTTATCATCGAAGATGTAGGTGCTAATTCTTAAGCAAAAATTTGATCATGCTTCCCTCATCCCCATAGTATTGTAGGATGCTCTACCCTGGTTCCTGGTATACAATCCAACCAGGCAGATAAAAATGTTTCTATTTATTCTTTACTATAACAGGCTGCTAGGGTAGGCAATTATATGGGATACATCTTTTGTTGCTTTATTTTTGAAGCACTTATGATACGCTCCAAGCACTCATGCCTTGCAAAATTATTCTTTTGATTTGCTATAGAATGGCATATGTTAACATTATAACTGATTACTTTTATTGTGTACTTGTTCTGATGTCTACAACTTTGTTCGCAGTGTAAATAGATGCAAGCGTAGTTTGGCAGAGATTGCTGTCAAAGCGGTGCTAGCTGTTGCAGATTTAGAGAGGAAGGATGTTAACTTAGATCTAATTAAAGTAGAAGGGAAAGTAGGTGGAAAGTTGGAGGATACTGAACTGATATATGGAATTGTTGTCGACAAAGATATGAGTCATCCACAGATGCCAAAGAAGATTGAGGATGCAAAAATTGCCATTTTGACTTGTCCTTTTGAGCCACCGAAGCCAAAGACTAAGCATAAGGTTGACATTGATACAGTTGAAAAATTCCAAACACTACGTCAACAAGAGCAGAAGTACTTTGACGACATGGTTCAAAAATGCAAGGTGAAGGACTTTCATCTTTTCCTTTTTGCATTTCCTCTTCGAGTCATCGTTATCATCCTCTGGAAGATTGTTGTTTCTACTCTAGGGGGATTTTGCTGAGCATGTCAAGTGTAGAGATATTCATATATATATGGTTCTCTGCATTTTCCTTACAATCCTTTGGCGTTGTAGGATGTTGGCGCTACTTTGGTTATCTGCCAATGGGGTTTTGATGATGAAGCAAATCACTTACTGATGCACAGAAACTTGCCTGCTGTTCGATGGGTTGGTGGTGTTGAATTAGAGCTGATAGCCATAGCTACAGGTTTGTGTCAATGTTGCAATTTTCTAGTGATAAGATTTGTCTGTTTCTGTACCGTTAATACATTTTGGATTTATAATTGCCTGTGTTTCTCAACTTTGGTGTTTAGGTGGGAGGATTGTGCCGAGGTTTCAAGAGTTGACCTCAGAAAAACTAGGCAGAGTAATGTTTCCTCTATGCAATGCTACCTCGTGTTTATATTTACAAATTGCAGATAAAACTCAGATTGCTTTAGCATGCTACTGCATAGAAGGTCATAATGATTGATTATTGTTTATGCACTGCAGGCTGGTTTGGTTCGAGAAAAAGCATTTGGTACTACTAAAGATCGAATGATATACATTGAACATTGTGCAAATTCAAGGGCTGTAACCATATTTATACGTGGTGGTAGGTTGATTTTATCTTATTTCTTCACTTAGCATTGTTCTTGATGTTCTTTTTTTGCGGTTTTGTGTTGAATAGTAGTGTAATTGGTTATTTGTGATGAAATGAGACTAGGTAGCCGGTAGACCTCTTTTTACAAATTTTCACTTGTTTTGAAATAGAAGTATCAAGCACTGTAATTTTCAAACTATGTTGAGTAACTCTTTGAGAAAATGAAAGAAAAAAGAGAATTGCCCAAGATGAGAGGAATGGGAAATAATAATTCCACGAACACAGAAATTTGAAACAGATTGTTGTTCTTGATGATGCATTAGGTAACAAGATGATGATAGAGGAAACAAAACGCAGCCTTCATGATGCTTTATGTGTTGCTCGAAATCTTATTCGCAACAACTCCATAGTATATGGTGGTGGTTCATCCGAGATTTCTTGCTCAATTGCTGTCGAAGCAGCTGCTGATAAACACCCAGGAGTTGAGCAGGTAATTTGCTAAATTTCCTTGTATGCTATTACTTTCAACTTATATGCTAAAAGGTTAAATATTGTCTGCAGTATGCAATTAGGGCATTTGCAGATGCATTAGATGCAATTCCCATGGCGCTAGCTGAGAATAGTGGTCTCCAACCCATCGAAACTCTTTCTGCTGTTAAATCTCAACAGATTAAGGTAATCTTGACATTGTTGCAACTTCTCTGTGATTTGAGGACCAAAACTAGTCTCTCTTTCCTTTGTTCTTTGGGAAATTTGAACCATTGGTCCCGGCCTATCCCTGGTAGCAAGTAGGTCCCAACCTTAAGAAAGGGGCAAGTTGCTCTTCCATGTTGTACCGTCAATGCCAATGTGACAGGAATCCTGAAGCTTTCAAATCTTTGTAAAATGCAATTGTGCAATTTTCCCTGTCCCTTTGTCACTAGTCTTGTTGACGTTTTAGACGTTTATTTGTCTCTAATGATTGTGAATTTTTATATCCAGGAAAACAACCACTACTGTGGTATTGATTGCAATGATATTGGAACTAATGATATGCGCGAGCAAGATGTCTTTGAGACGTTGATTGGGAAACAACAGCAGATTCTTCTGGCGACTCAAGTTGTTAAAATGATTCTGAAAATTGATGATGTTATCTCACCATCTGAATATTAAATTATCCCATATTTTCTACAAAATTTTGCTGGGTCTAAAAAAATTGTGTACGCTACATAGTTTGCTTGAACATCAGACAATTTGAGTCGATACATTCCTTTGATTAATTCCTCTAGAGGCTTTGTTTTTCTAATGTGTTCTGTTTCATGGATTGATGATCTTGTTTACTCTTTAATTATGCAACAAATGCTCGACCATTATATTCTGTCTGACGCGCCCACACACAAGTTTGTAGTCTGTTTATGTACCATGAATTTTTTTTACGATGCTTTATGCCTAAAACATATATTGTAAGTGATAAGAAACCAAGTTGGGTATCTAATATGAGGTCTATATCCCACCAACCACAGGTTTTGGATAAGAAAACAATCCAAATTTTTTATTCCCGTTGGGCCTCATTTTTTCTCAATCTGTCCCATTTTAACAAGATCAAAATTGAAGTCAGGTTTAGTTACCTGCAAATCTTTCAGCATTTAAACACCAGTGGTAACTACCATAACTACAATGGCTATGATCAATGCCAAATGCCTCAACGCCAATACAAAGGACACTTTTAACCCCTCCAAGAAACCACTCTCTCTCCTCTCCGTACAAAACCTCCCAAAAGGGCTCACCACCACCACCTCAAAGCCATTAGAAGTCTAGAGCCTGGCTGGAACTGCCCTTGCTGGAGTCATATTCTCCACACTCCGCTCCTCCGATGCTGCCTTTGCCACCCAACAAATTGCTGAAATAGCTGAAGGTGATAACCGGGGATTTGCCCTTCTACTACCTATCATTCCTGCTATAGCTTGGGTTCTTTTCAACATTCTTCAACCTGCTGTTAACCAGATTAACAAAATGAGGAGTGTCAAAGGGGTGATCATGGGGCCCGGGCTAGGTGGACTCGGGGGCTAGAGTTTCGTGCACCTGCCAGAGGCATCTGCCAGCGAAATCGTCATGATTGCTGATGCTGCCACAAGTGACAACAGAGGCCAGCTCTTGCTGTTTGTGGTCACTCCTGCCATTCTTTGGGCGCTTTACAAAATTTTGCAACCAGCTTTGAACCAGATCAATAGGATGAGATCAGATTGAGAAAGGTTATCAATTTTTATATGAATTAAGCTAGTGTCAGATGAATTTTGACACCCCAGTTGACTTACACTCACATTGGTATGGGACCCGCGCCAACCTCATGGGAATAAAAACTGTAAAAAATGGTACCCCACCCACCCCGACTGTGAGTGTAGGTCAACCGGGGAGTCAAAATTCATCTGCAACCCAACATGATTGATATCAAAAGGTAATATTGAGGTTTATGTGTATTGTTTGATCTTAATATTCTTTACCATAAAACTCTTCATCTAGAATTGCTTTTGTTTAACTCAAGGTCGTTTGGGTGAAAACTTTTGACATAAAAGTCGACAAGAGTATTCATCTATAACCACATATAAAGGATTTCTTGAAAAGTAGAAGATTAATATTACTTTAGAATGGCATTTAATACTCCAAGAACGTCATTGAATTCTCTCATAAAGAACCATATAACGAGAAAGACGAAAACTTTAATAAGTGATTATGCCACTCGTCTATGGATTCCAGTGGATAGGCGCCATGCATCAAGAACAGCACTAGGCAAAAGGGAGGCAAACCACCATTGGATTGAATGTCCCCAGTAAGGTGTACATCGTGCTTCATATCCTATACTCTCAATTGCACTTTCCACATATTTTCCGGCCGATGGTATGAAAATTGATGGTTTCTCTACAAATGCAACTGTCGAAGCCATTTTGGTTGATAAGTATAATGGCACCTGATCAATTAGCCAACTCAAGTGCTTGAAAAAGTACAATGAGGAAAACACTAATTTATTGATATTGGAAGAAGAGAGAAATTTCACATAGGTGATAGTTAAAGGACACAATCCCACTTGGAACAAAGATTTAATAAATAAATGTACAGCACTTTAAAGGGCTTGGAATACTCATAGTAAGGTTGACATTTTAATTAGATGGAATCTCGATGCCAATATAGTATAGAGTTCATCAAATTCAAATTAGCAAATTGGTTTGTTTAAATCTCAAACCAGCAATTGGATTTCAAGATTCGTATCCGTACAACATATGACTAAATGAATATGCTATATATTACGACTTATGTTACTTTTAAGAAGGTTGATCTCTTAAGAGTGTATTTCTAAACCCCATAATCACTTAGTACTTGGACTTCATAAAAATTTGATCACCTCATCTATAGAACGTGATAGTTTAGTAGTTTGTCAACTAGTTTGTCCACCAGTCAAAATAAAGATGATGGCGTGTATGGATAATCAAATTGTAATAAATGTTTAAAATCCTTGACTAACTTAGTAACCAAATCGGAAGGTTCTTTATAAATTAAAAGGTTATTTTATGTGTGGTTGAAAATTTGATAAAAGTTGTGAATTTCATGCAATATATAGTTAAAATTGAAGTTTGAACGTTGAAAAGCAGATAACATTTTATCAAACAAGCTTGTATTGAACAATTATATACCTGACATTGGACATCTATGCCATAGTGTTTGTATTCCACATACAAGCATCTGGACAACTGATCAATGTACCTGCAACTCAATTTTATTCCATTCAAAAATTAAATATCTAATTTGAAAGATATATAGTCACAATGTACTTTTATGTTAACTAAGCCCCTGTTTGATGCCCATTACTTAAAAATGAAAATGGGGGGATTAGTATTTTTTAGAAAAATGAGTAGTTGAAAAAGAAGGAAAAGTTTTTGATTTACGTGTAATATTATTTTATGAAAGATTGTGTGGTTGAAAATAGGAGAGAGAAAAATGTAATGTAATGTAATTTAATTTAATGAGGATCAAACAGGGGCTAAAAGTTCCAACATATTGAAAGTATTTAGGTAAATCTTGGTTGAACTATTGCATTAAATTTTTTTTTTTTTTATTGAAGGCGAGAAAAACAGTAAGGGATATTTATAAATTTAACATGTTCTATTTCACTCAAATTAATTTAATATTTTACATAATTTTTTTGTGATTAACAAAATTGCCGACTCAATAAATTACCATAAATTGAGTGCAGTCTCATTGTAGCTAGCATATGGCCTCACTTTATTTCAAGCAGAACTGCATAGCCTATATTATTTAACAACTCCATGAAACCAATAACTTTCTACCATGTGAACTTGGTGGAGCTTTTATAGAAGGGTAGTAATTAGAATGCACCTAGCGGTATATTTAGTGCATTGCATTTGACAAGGCTGAATAAATCAATAGACGATCTTGTCACATACCGCTTCTTAACTTGGACAACATTTAAGTTCACTATCTTTAAATGACCATACAAAATGATGTCAATCTTGAAATTCGAATGTGTCTGACGAACTGAATTCGATAGTTTGAACTTTTAGAACACGAACACAATATTAAGTCTTGATTGCTCATCTTAACAAAGCTGACTATCTAAAATGGAATCTCAAGACTATGGACGTATTTGATATATTGTACGGAGCAAAAAAACATTATTTTAACTCGTCTTCCTTTATTAATGACGTCCGATTCACCATATCAACCACAACACCGAAATTATTGTAATATATTTGTAGGCTTGAAAAGTGAACAAGTTATAGAAGGCGATGAAGAGAAAAAAGAAGGTTGGGGGGGGGGGGGGGGGGGGGGGGGGGGCGGGGGGGGGGGGGGGGCGCTTACGCTTTGGTAGCAGCATAGATGGCATAAAGAGGATGAGAAGGTACAACAATGGATGCACCAGAACCAATATTAACAATTGCACCTTTCTTCCTTGCAACCATTTCTTCTATAATACCTCTTGTAATCAAACTTGTACCCCCCACGTTAACTCTCACTAAATTCATCCAAATTTCTTCATCCACTTCATGAAAAAACATTGCTGATGGATATGTAACTCCAACATTATTGATTAAAACCCCAACATCCAAACCCTTAATGTCCTCTTTCATTTCAATAATCCTAGCTGAAATATTTGGGCCCGAAAATTCGATTCCGAAAATCTTGGTCAGTGTATTGGGATATTTGGCTCGAATTTCACTACTCACATTTTTGAGTTTGCTCAAGTTTCTGCTTACTAGTATTAGGTTTAGACCTTTTTTGGCAAGTTGGAAAGCAAAAGCTTTGCCTATGCCATCAGTTGAGCCAGTGATGAGGGCCCATGATCCATAATTCTTGAGATTTTTGGGTTTTCTGAAAATTTTTATGAAGATCCATTTGAGAAGGAATATAGTGTTCTTGACGATAGAGAGAAAACCTAGAAGAGAGAGAATTATTATCCACAAAGGTTGTGTTTTTAGATGAATAAAGCAGGTTGAGAGCATTTCTTGAACCTTGGGAAGACCTAATTTCAAAGGTTATAGTTTGTTGAGGCTCACTATAAGCGTTTTCCCGACGTATGGAGAAAACTGCAATTAATATTTCTTTTTTATTCTCCTTTTTCTTGGAAGGAAAGGGTGAAATTGTCTTTCCTTCTACTGGGACCACAAAATTGGATCCACGCATCAGCTCATCTTAATGAAAAGAACATGACTCAGCTACCGGTTCTCGAAACCATTTACAAACCTAAACCAACATCCTTGATAGGCAAAAGAAGAGCATAATATTGTTTGGTCTGATCATTTTATTTATATCGATATAAATATAAGTGAGATTATAAAAAATGCTTTAGTATGAAGAAAGCACTCTAATTTATAAGTCATCTTGCAGGAAGCATACATGTTGATTATGTGGATCATATTCTTGTATATCTAATAGTGACGTAGATAAGTTGAGAGTGTACAGTATTATAAGGGTACTTTCAGGATTAGAGTTCTATATAAATAATCTTATGTAATCATATAAGAAGTTAGCAGATAATTGATAATGCCATACAATAGTAAACGTAGGCACATTGTCGAACTATTTAAATTCTTGTGTGTCGATTTTATTGTTCTTCTTCTTTTTTATTTTATTTTTCATGTTTTGCTCAACAAAGTGAAGAAGAAATATTTAGTTTGTAACGAATGAAACATATATAATGTAGATGTTTAATATACACAGGATGTTGGGATCGTACACGATTACACAAAATAAAGAAATATTTGTATCTAATTCAACGTAGAATATTTTCATTGTTGGAAGTTGATTTCTTTCTATTGAATTATAAATGCATCAATCTACAGATTTGAATCACAAAAGACTTTAAAAATTATGAAAAAGATAGACACGTGAAATTATTCAAGTATGAACTCCATACCGTTGATTCAGAGCAAATTCACAGTTGTGCCGTACTATTTTCGGCTAGAATCAATGCTGTCTTTTTTACTGCTTTTATTTAATAGTGGGGCCCGAGCTCAAAGTGTTGAGACATGACACAGACACACAAAGAGAATGTTGTATTTTTTTTTTTTTTTTTTCTCGACTGTGGCTATCTTTCGAAATTTTGTGCTATTGCGTATTCATATATATAGGCCCCTCACTGTGTGGAGGGGCCCACCTGTATTTAAATTAAAAAAAATTATTGTGGGACCCACCTTGTGTCTTCCTTGGCGAGGGCCTGTGAACCAAGCCCCTGTAACTGTAGCATCACTCTATATACATTTATTCGGCCACTCTAATATTTTTCCTCATACATAGAGAGTATTTGGATGAGCATTTTTGTAGTATAAAGAAAACAAAGAAATGCATGCGCGAGTCAAGAAAAAACATTGTAAACCTCATCTTCTTGGCTATAGTGAGATGATGCAGTGACATTAAGGCACCGTTTGATTGCCCATGAATTACCTAGAAAGTGGAAATTAATTTCCATTTTTTCCAAATTCTAGTGTTTGATGACAAAACATTTCCTTGGAATTCACTTTCCATGCAAGCCTCACACGCGCCTATTTTCCTTCATTTCAAGGAATTGGTTTTCCCACTTATATGGTGGGAAAGTGAATTCCAGGTTTTCAATTTTATTTTATTTTATTTATTTATTTTTAGTAATGGAAACAAATTCTAAGAATTATTGTAAAAAAAATATTTTCCTTTAATTGACAATTTTCATGTAAAATAAAGCCAAGCGAACACCCAAAAATAAATGATTTTCTTGAATTTTATTTATTTATTTTTTTTTTTGGTTTTGGCAATGGAAATAAATTGCATTCCCAATACCAGTAAATTCTATTCCTTTAATTGACAATTATCATGTAAAACAAAGCCTAATAGACATAAAAAAACACTTTAATTTAAACATTTTTCACGTGAAAAATTATACCAATCAAACACAATAATTTATGGTGTGTTTGATTACATTTATTTTCCATGGAAAATATCAGTTTTCCATCCAAATTTTCACTTGGAGTGTTTGATTGCTATTTTTTTCCATGGAAAACATTTTCCAACTTTTGAAAATATGCCTAATTTTCCTTGTTTTTAAGGAAAATATTTTCTTTGGGTAGAGGTGATTTTTATTTTCCACAAAAGATGGAAAATATTTTCTTTTCTAGGTAATATTTTCCATGTCAATCAAACACACTCTTACAATTCTCAGTAAAATAATTTCTCATCAATTCAATTCCCTAGAATTCGTTTTCTTTCCATCCAAATTCCACCTTTGCAATCAAACGGACCCTAAGATTATTCAAGGGATATTTACGAGACAATAAATCACTTTAAATTCTTACCTGCTTTTGATTTTCTTTATTTTGTATTATTATTGCTCTCAATAATACAGTTCCAAGGATTGATCCATGACAAAATGGATGTGTTTCTCATAATAACTAAGAATGAACCTATAAACATATATGTATCGTTACCTTCAATACATTAGTATGCCAATCGATTTTGATTTTGATAATTTAAAGAGTTTTTAGTAAATGGAATGCATTAATTTTTGTGGTCTACAAACCCTTGATTAAATGGCACACAAATTAGCTTGCTACTTTCTATAATTGAGTTTTGGTTGTTGGAGTACTAGTTTCACTTGCAAAGTAAAAGTTATAAATTAGTCGTTTCAAAAAAAAGAAATAATTTATGTCTAGTCTTGTTTGATTTTTTTTTTAAATAAAAAATTTAGTATGTTTTGATAAAAGTTGATGAAATACGTGTTTTAAAAGTTGATAAAAGTTATGGATCCCATAAAATTTATGATTAAAAAATAATTTTGGAGAAAATGAGTTTTTAAAAGTGGGACCAAACAGGGACTTAGTAAAAATAAAGTACTTAATACGTAGTATACTCTTTATTTTAGCGGTTAATAGTTAATATTTAACCGGAAAGGTACAAAGTTTTAATTATTATTATTTCATAAGTTTGATAATTTAGAGAACAATGATATTACGATAATCATAATTTCTTCAGTTCATAAGAGGAATTATCGGAAAACATAAACTTCATTATATTGGAAGATAATCTGATACTGTGAAGAGCATTTCATTAGGGAGATTAAATAATTTTTCAATTTTATTATTTTTAAATTGCATTTTTGTAAATAAATATTGTTTTATGACCGACTGTAATTAAAATTAAAACAAAATCATTTGCATTCTACAAAATATCCTAATATTTTTAATGGTTGAGCACTTTTCTCAAAGAAAAATAAAATAGCAAGATCATAAGATCAAGTTTGATTCTTCGTCAGAACATAAGACATCATGTGTGTATAATGTTGATAACTCATTCACTACGAAAACACAATCTTTCTTATTTTTCTCATCTTTGATTCCTTTCTCCCCCATTGTCCCTATGCCCCTCAACCAATAGTGGAGCCAAATTTGAACATTGTTCGTGAAAACAATTTGAAGCAACAAAATATACACGTAATTTATATATACTAAAAAAATAATTAAAAAAATACTATGCAAATTTAAAGAAAATTTCAGGTGTAGTGGAGCGGTCGCTATGCCACTTCCCTCAACCAAAATCGTTAATTAGTGTTCAAGTTCTTGAAGTACACTTTGAAAAACGTAGCTACTCAACAAAATATTCTAAAAGACATCAAAATCATAATATATAGTCTTAACTAGTTGTCTGACTACCACAAATCAAAATTCAAGAGTGGTTATGTACCAAGTTTAAGTGTTCATGAATACTCGATAAAAATAAGTGAATTATAAGATCAAAATGAACATCACATGTATACCTACTTGTTTTGATTGCACAGAGTTGGATGACAATGATGAACAAATTAATTGTGAAGATCATAAAGTTTAAACCATATATATATATAGCAAAAACAGTGAGAAAAACTTCAAAATTTCATTCTTCTTATAAGGATTATGTAGGTACTTTGCGTATAAGCTGCTTATTTACCGTCTCATTTCGACAATAAGGACATACGTATCATTGAAATAAGTCAAGAAGTGGTTATATATTCTTAAACCTTTGGCGCAATAGGACAACACTTAACGCAGACAGGTCGGGGAAGCTCTATCCTGCAATCGCAACAAAAATCCTCACGACAAGGGGAGACACACGCTGCAAATTCACAACATTACAACTATTATTAGCACAAAAATTTGGGAAAAAGAAAAAGAACAATCTCGTCAATGGAATGTTTAAACAACATATGTTGAGAATAATAACACGAAGCGTGCACAGACGCACATTAAAAAAAAGGGTGCGGCCGGGGGGGGGGGGGGCATCTA